AAAACTCACTATTGATATTTTTTGTAATAAGTCAGTCTTTACTACATTAGTTGCAGTATATCTATTTATGAGTAATTTACCAGAGCTTTCATTTCCCAAAACAAATGTGACGCTAAAAAGAGAGATGAGGCTATGAAATTGTTGGAAAAACTCACACACTGCAGTTAGTTCATGTTCATGCAAAGAACGTAAAGGATTTCATTACGGAAACGGCTTTGACACTCCCTTCATTTGCAGCTTCACACGTCCAGCACACGCCCCTTTTGAGCTCTCCTGTGTCCTTGAGCTTTTAATCCCATTTTCCTCGCGCTTTCTCCACGCTTTCCGCGAGGCCCTTGAGCTCACTGCCCCCTCCGCCCGCAGGCTGGGGCTGTGCGACGCCTGCCTGCCCGACATCTCGTACCAGGTGCACCTCGCCAAGAAGACGCGGCCCTCGAGGAAGCGGCGCCTCGACCCGCCCCTGGGACTCGCCCTCGAGCACCCGGACGCCGCCGCGGGACAGCAGGGCCTCAAGTGCCATCCGCCGCTCTACAAGCTCCTCTCGAACCTGCCGCCGGGCGAGAACGACCTGCAGGACGGGCGCGGGTCGGAGCCCGTGGCGCCCCTGCTGAGACGCTCGCAGTCGCTGGAGCACCTCAGCGTGTGAGCCGACGGGGGGCGGAAGGGAGGAACTAGTCACTCGTCTCTCTCTCTTCTCTCTTCTCTCTTCTCTTTCTCTTTCTCTCTTCTCTTTCTCTCTTCTCTTCTCTCTTCTCTCTCTTCTCTCTCTTCTCTTTCTCTCTTCTCTCTCTCTCTCTTGACTCTCTCTGATCTTTCTGTGCACGTCTTTCTACCTGTTCACCTTTAGATATGCATCTGTAAATGCATATGTACATGCCTACACATTTACATAGGCACACACACACACACACACACACACACACACACACACACACACACACACACACACACACACACACACACACACACACACACACACACACACACACACACACACACACACACACACACACACACACACACACACACACACACACACACACACACACACCACACACACACACACACACCACACACACACACACACACACACACACACACACACACACACACACATATATATATATATATATATATATATATATATATATATATATATATATATATATATATATATATATATAATATAATATATATATATATATATATATATATATATATATATATATATATATATACGCGACAGTTGAATGGTTGATAGCTTTTCCGTGACTGGCCTTGTTGAGCCTAGCAATTACTTGGACCTTCCCCTTCAAAAAAGTGAAATAGTTTGCAGTTTTGTTGTTCTCTTTGAGACTAGATTTTTGTTTGGATTCTCCGACGGACGATGCCCCTAAAATATAAATTAAAAAAAAAAAGCTTTTTACGAGAAGAAAACGAGTCCAAACTTATTAAAGGTAAACGAGGATCTGTTTTTTATAGTCTGTTCTTTCTCGCGTATTTATTTCTATCGATTAATATTCGTATTCTTTTTTTTAATAATGAAATTCAAACAAGTGAAGAAATTCCCCGATTTTTTTTTATTTTTTATTTTTTTTTTTTTTAATGATGTAGATGGACAGGTCTTATTACATACCGAAAGACGTTGATATAGGGTTTTCTGCTTCATCTTTTTTATCATATTTTCTAAACCAGAAGAAAAAAAAGGAGAAATATGACAAGAAACCGCGCCAAAAAAGTCGAGCTTTTGAGAGGCGCGTCGGAAAAATGGCGGGAAAACCGTGTCCCATCAGTCGACTAGAGTTTTTTTTTTTAGAGCCGTTTTCTCAAAGAAGTTCTTTAATGTTTATTTATTATATCATTTATCTATTTCTGAATTAAAAATATGATTAGTTTAATGCCATCATCCTCTAGAGGGAAGCTATGAAATAAAGTTCTGTGGTACTGTTTGAAATTCTGATTCCAAACGGTCTTGATTGCATTTGTTTTTCCCATTTTTTTTAAAGTTTAAATTATGATCGAAATTTAGATAAATGCCCTGGTAGGCTACTAAATACGTTTCTTGAGAAAATATTTGTTTTTGTTTACTTATTTATTTATTATTGCAATCTCTTTTAGACAAAAAAAGACCTTAAGATGAATAAATGAAGAAATAGATCAAAAGAATAAATAAATAAAAAAAAAAATCCAGTTAACTCTTCAACTACTAAAAATACGCATACGTTTTTTGAGAAAATATTTTTGCTTTTGTTTACTTATTTATTTATTTATTTGGCAACCTCTTAGTTAAAAAAAGACCTTAGATTGTTATGAAAAATAGATCAAAAGAATGTACATAGAAAAAATCCACTTAACTCTTCAACTACTAAACATACGCGTTTCTCATCAGTACCATTATTTTGCCCAAATGAAGGTAAAACAAAAACACAAACAACCTGGAATTACCTTATATCTGAATCAATAATGAAAGATAGACCTGAAGATCCCTTGAATTCAAATTTATTTTACGTTTTTCTTTATCTTAGTTTCATGGGTATAGCAAAAAAATGGAAAAAAAAAAGAGAAAAGAACAAGTAAAAGATACGTAAACATATATTCAAAAAAAAAGACAAATTCTAATTACACAANGACTTTTTTTTTTTTTTTTTTTTTTTTTTGAGCCGTTTTCTCAAAGAAGTTCTTTAATTGCTATTTATTTGTATATTCATCTATCTATTTTTAATTAAAAATATGATTAGTTTAATGCCATCATTCTCTAGAGGGAAGCTATGAAATAAAGTTCTGTGGTACTGTTTGAAATTCTGATTCCAAACGGTCTTGATTGCATTTGTTTTTCCCCTTTTTTTTAAAGTTTAAATTATGATCGAAATTTAGATAAATGCCCTGGTAGGCTACTAAATACGTTTTTTGAGGAAATATATTTTTAAGTTTCTGTTTACTTAAAAATCATGTAAACAAACATGGCGGCATCGGAGTGAGGTCCCGGGAATCACACCTTTATTTATTTGGCAATCTCTTTTAAGACAAAAAAGAGACCTTAGATTTAAGTTATGAGAAAATAGAGCAAAAGAATATAAATAAATAGAAAAAAATCCAGTTAACTCTTCAACTACTAAAAATACGCATACGTTTTTTGAGAAAATATTTTTGCTTTTGTTTACTTATTTATTTATTTATTTGGCAACCTCTTAGTTAAAAAAGAGACCTTAGATTTGTTATGAGAAAATAGATCAAAAGAATGTAAATAGAAAAAAATCCACTTAATTCTTCAACTACTAAACATACGCGTTTCTCATCACCACCATTATTTTGCCCAAATGTAAGGTAAACAAAAATAAACAACCTGGAATTACCTTTATTCTGAATCAGTAATGAAAGATAGACCTGAAGATCCCTTGAATTCAAATTTATTTTACGTTTTTTCTTTTCTTTGGTTTCATAGTAAAAAAAAAAGAAAAAAAAAGAGAAAAAAATAGATACATCATCATTTATTTCATTATAATTATTAATTCTAAATGATCAATTCTTAATTACACTAAATCACACCAAAATATCTAAACTATATTAAGAGCAACATAACGGTGCTTCATTATTCACCTTTCATTAAAATCTACTCTTAAATCGAAGATAATAAAAAAAACAGTAATTAAAAAGTAAATAATCTTAACAAAATATGCGAATAAAAAAACAGTAATTAAAGAGCTAATGCTATTAACAAAATAAGATTTCATTGGACATATTCTCGCGCCAAAATTTTGAAATTCTGAAGAAAATTTTCGGTCTATCGTGGAGCCGACTTGTTGTGTGGTGTTGCCATCACAGGGGCGTGGCATTGGCACCGTCTGGAGTGATGTCTTGAGAACTTTTATATTTTTGGAGAGAAAAACCATTAAAAAGTCTGTGTTTAGATACATCAATAAATAAACAAATACATGTGTGTATATATGTATATATAAAGATATTTATAAAAAAATATACATACATGTATGTTTGAATATATATATGTTTGTATATATATATATATATATA